TTTTCTTCATTCTTCATTGCTCTGGTTGAGGAGAGACCAATTGTTGCCGCTTAGATGGCCGCTTGGAAGTTTTGAAGACCTCAGTTGCTACTCACCAAAGTAGGGTGTTTGATGTTCCCTATGACACACATGTACGTTTTCTTTTTAATCCTCACAACTCTAGGAGGTAGGCACTACTTCTAACCCCATTTTATAGATAAGGAAGTGAGGTTAATAGCTTGTCCAAGAAGCAGAGGTGGTATTTGAATCCATATATTTTATAATTAAGACTAAGGCTTTGAATTTTGATGAAAATTATTTTATTCAAAGCCTTAATCTTCATTTTATAATGTTAGGTTTACCAAGGGTGAGCCTCCATATTAGTAAGCAGAGTCCAGATATTCCTACAAAGCTAGGGGCATGGCCCAGGCAAGGAGAGGACTGCCAAAATTCCTTATTCTTGGGGCTGCTGAAAGGCATTCACCCACATGGACTGTAGGGATCTCCTTACTCCATGCAAGGAACGGACTTTGTGTCTTTCCTCCTCAGCTGGAGCCAGTATAGGGCAGTTATATTCTCTAAAATCTATACTTTTCTCTCATTTATTTTAAACACACACACACACACATTAGAAATCATGCCAGTTACCATATATAATCAATTTCTCAACAATACTGCTATGCCTTGTTTTAAGGATATCTGATACTATTGTTTGTTGTTATGTGTCGTCAAGTCGGACCCGACTCATGGCGACCCTTCCTTGGGTTTCCGAGGCAGTATCACTATGGAAGTACATTGCCCCATCTTCCTTCTGAGGAGTGGCTGGTGGGTTTGACCCGCCAGCCTTCTGGTTAGTAGTCAAGTACCTTAGGCACTATGCTACCAGAGCTCCCATACTGTTGTTTAGGTGCCTTCAAGTCAGATCTGACTCATAGTGACCGTACGTAAAGCAGAATGAAACACTGCCCAGTCCCATGTCCTCCTGACAATCATTGCTATGCTTGAGCCCACTGTAGCAGCCACTGGCTGAATACATCTCGTTGAGGGTCTTTGTCTTTTTCACTGACCTACTTTACCAAGTATGATGTCCTTCTCCAGCAATCGGGCTCTCCTGATAACATGGCAAATGTAAGTGAGATGAAGTGTCACCACCCTTGCTTCAAAGGTACATTCTGGCTGGACTTCTCCCAAGACAGATGTGTTTGCTATTCTGGCATTCATGATATATTCAATATTCTTCCCCAATGCCATAATTCAGATGATCTTCCTTATTCACTGTCCAGCTTTTGCATGCATATGAGGTGAATGAAAATACTATGTCTTGGATCAGGTGCATCTTAGTTTTCAAAGTGACATCCTTGCTTTTTAACACATTAAAGAGGTCTATTGCAGCAGATCTGCCCAATGCAATACATTATTTGATTTCTAGACTGTTGCTTCCATGGGCATTGATTGCGGATCTAAGTAAAATGAAATCCCTCACAACTTGAATCTGTTTCACATTGATCATAAAGTTGCGTATTGATCCAGTTGTGCAGATTTTCATTTTCTTTATGTTGACATGTAATCCATGCTGTTCTTCATAAGTAAGTGTTTCACGCTTTCTTTGCTTTCAGCAAACAAGGTTGTATCATCCACATTATTTGCTCAGCATACAAACCGAATAAGTAGAGTGAAAAGACACAACCCTGACACACATCTTTCCTGATTTTAAACCACACAGAATCCCCTTGTTCTGTTCGAACTACTGCCTCTTGGTCTATGTACAGGTTCCTCATGAGCAAAATTGTGTGTTCTGGACTTTTCATTCTTCACAGGGTCATACATAACTTGTTATGATCCACATAGTGGAATGCCTTTGCATAGTCAATAAAACACAGTAAACGTGTTTTCTGCTTCAATTATTTTTGAACTATCTTCAGCAAAACTTACCTGTGTTTGAAATTAATGATACTGGTCAATAATTTCCACATTCTGTTCGAGCACCTGTTTTTGAAATGGGCACAAATATGGATCTCTTTTAGTTGGCTAGCCAGGTAGCTATCTTACAACCTTCTTGGCATAGACGAGCAGGTGCTTCCAGGGTTGCATCTGTTTGTTGAAACATGTCAATTGGTATTCTGTAAATTCTTGGAGCCTTGTTTTTTTTGCCAATGCCTCAGTGTAGGTTGGACTTCTTCATTCAATACCATTGGTGCTTGATCACATGCTACCTCCTGAAATGGGTGAACATGGACTAATTCTTCTGGGTACAATGACTCTGTATGCTTTCCATCTTCTTTTGATACTTCTTGCATTGTTCAATTTTTTTCCCATAGAATCCTTAAATATTGCACCTCGAGATTTGAATTTCTTCCTCAGTTCCTTCTGCTTCAGATATACAAAGTATGTTCTTCCCTTTTGGTTTTCTAATTCCAGGTCCATCTTTGCACATTCCATTAAAGTACTTCATTTTGTCTTCTCAAGACACCGTTTGAAATGTACACGTAAGATGCTTCTATAACTTAGGAGAAAGTTCTTTTTCTAAGAAGCAAGGTATGTTTATTCATCCATTCAACAATGTAAATATGCATAAAATTATTGAGCCCATATATTCTACACCAAGTTATGTGTTTGGTGCCGGGCATTCAGAAATGAACAGCACACGATGGCTGCCCTTATAGAGCTTATAGTCTAGCAGGAAATACAGAAAAAGAGGCAACTGCCTGAAAGCCAAGACAAAATGCAGGGGGGGGGCTTATTATGACATAGCATGAACAGCTAACAGAACTGGGGTACAGGGGAGGAGCAGAGGCAGGGAGAAAAAGCTTACCTGAAAAAGGTAGCCAGGAGACAGAATGTCTGATGGAGGAACAGGAGCTAGCAAGGGGGAAAGGATGGAGGCTGGGAATAGTGTTCCAGAGTGAGGACAGTATGTGCAGAGTCCAAAAAAGACACTAGGGCATTTGAGAGGGCATGTTGGGAGCCAGGGAGACTGCTGCAGTTGTTAAGGCAACAGATAAAGTTAGCTTGGACAGAAGGGAGTGGTTTTGAGAGATACTTAGACCATTAGCAGTTGCCACCAAGTTGATTCTAACTCAGGGTGACCCCAGGTGTTTTATTCTAACTGATTAGAAGTGGGGCATGAGTGAGAGGGGGACTCCATCAAGTTCCCAGGCTTGGGCAACTGGGGCAATGTCAGTGCCATTCAATGAGATGAGGAACATTGTTAGAGGGGAAGAGATGCACGGAATATGAGTTCAGCTGGAGTATATTGAGCTTTAGTTGCCTGTGGAAAGTTCAAGTCCACACATCATAATCACAGGGCTGGAGCTTAGGAGAAAGAACTGCACCACAGAGACAGACTTCAGAGTTCATCCCTCACTGGCAATGTCTTTCCATAACTGTATTCTATACCCAATGCTAATTCAGCAAATATTTACTACCTCCCTGCTAAGTGCCAGGCACTGTGCTAGGTGTGAAACTTGATGTGAAGAAAAACAAACAAACAACAAAACACAGCAAAACCTTAAAAACAGTTTGGCTCATTTTTATAATAATTTAATGTGTTTTGGTTTGATTTGACCAAATCTTTTATAAGCTGCTTAGTAGTTAAAAGTCAAGAAATTGTTTGGAACTATTTGTTACAATCCCCATTATTCACAGAGTAATGTGGTAAAATGAACAAGGTGTGGAGCATAAATAGCACTTTGATTAAAATTCACAAACCATGACGGATAAAATCATTACTCAGGCACGTCATGTCTTCAGAGCACCGCCTTCATCACCACAAATACATCAGGCAGTCTTAGATGCAAATCCAAGTGACTTCCAGCAGGCAGTTTTATTACGGATGGCAAGAAAGTCACTAAAATAAAAGCAATTCTGCTTCACTTTAATATTGCCAGTTTGTCCTTTATTGTTTTTTCTCCAGTGATCATTTCGTGAGAGACATTAAACTTAGAACGAAGACATTAAACTTTCCCTAAGATAAGTTTGGGAGCTCTGGTAGCATAGTGGCTAAGACACTTGACTGCTAACCAGAAGGCTGGCAGTTCAAACCCACCAGCCACTCCTCGGAAGGAAGATGGGGCAACCTACTTCCATAGTGATACTGCCTGAGAAACCCAAGGAGGGGTCGCTATGAGTCGGATCCAACTTGATGGCACATAACAACAACAACAACAAGATAAGTTTAATGATGAGAGAGACTAACAGGCTATGAAAAAAGGGAAAAGTCCCTTGCAGGCAGAATGTGAGAATGAGCTGCCGCTCTCTCTAGATGCCAAACTGGTTTGTCACATGCACGCAAACTCAGAAAATGGATTAACTAAAAATAATATAATAAAGAAAAGTACCTTTTGAAAAAAGTTTACATGCTTGAAAGAAAGAGTATCCAATTCCCACTGCAGAAAGAAAATGTAATGCCATTAAATAAGAATACCAGGATGAAAAATGGAACAAAGCAAAATGTACTTTTAGTGACTAATGATGTGGATGGGTCTTGGACAGTCTCCTCCAAACGCTGTTCCTTAACCCAAGGTGTACTCTTCCAGGAATGCTCCTTATAGAAGCTGAGTTTTTAAGAATAATTAATCAATAAGCTTTAACTCTGAGGGAAGGGACAATTCCACTTACTCAGTATCTGTTTATAGTCTAAAATTTTTTCTCATGGCATCTCCACAGCAACACCTTGAAATAAGTAGATGTTATCATTCCCATTTTACAGACAAGGAAACTGAAGCTCAGAAAGCTTAAGTGAGTTGCCCAAGGTCATACAACCAGCAGATGGAACCAGAGGTCTAAATCTAACTGAGGTCTTTCTGTCCCCCAAATCCTTGGTTTTCTCTACTGTTGAATATCAAACGATTCTATTTTATTCTCATAGCTGATGGGTTTTATCCCCTTATTGTTTTTTGTTCTTTTGACTGCTTTTTTTTTTTAATAAGTATCTTCCCTGTTGTTCTCATTCATTTAAGACACTGTGTATAGTTTTATTTATGAGTGTGTTTTTATAATTAATTAACAATGAACTTTTGGGGGAGCTCTGGTGGCATAGTGCCTAAGGCATTTGAGTGCTAACCAGAAGGCTGGCGGTTCAAATCCACCAATCACTCCTTGGAAGGAAGATGGGGCAGTCTACTTCCATAGAGATACCGCGTGGGAAACCCAGGGAGGGGTCATCAACTCGATGGCAGTGAGCTTGGCTTGAGTATAGACTTTTTATCATCTTAGGCTAGATAGCTGCTTTCATCACCTCTTTTTCATCTGACCCATGCTGAGGATGAGATATATCTTGACTAATTAAACCTGGCTCAATTTGAAAGAAGTTTCCCTCCATTCATAAAGTCCCTGATTCCACTTGACAAATTATGGGGACTGGATCTAGCCCCATGGTCAACTAATTAAGGCACTTGACTGCTAACCAGAAGGCTGGCGGTTCAAATCCACCAGCCACTCCTCGGAAGGAAGATGGGGCAATCTACTTCCATAGTGATACT